TTACCAGAAATTATTTTTTTTAATTTTTTCAAACTTCCCAAATAGTTTATAGTGGAATTTTCATTAATTTCAAAACCTTATTTAATTTTTAATCTAATGATAAAATTCTTCAACTTGGACTAAATTTTATTTGAACTGCATTTCTAGCTAAAATAATATCTCGTAAATGATAAATTAGAATCATGATTATATTAATTTTAATGAATAATTCTCATTTCATCATTAATTTATTTATAAGTCAATTATTATTTAGTAGTCTTAATTGAAAATTAATTACGAGTCTTCGGATATATTATCTAAAAATGCTTGCCTAGCCAAGTGAATATTTATGGAATATGAAGGGATATAAACTGAAACATAAATTTTTGGAAGTTTCCATTAGTATTTACCAGAATATCAGATGCTAAAATTGATTTTAAGGGAGTTGTCTAATTCTTTAAGGAGTTTTCCTGAGGATTAAACGATTCTAAGTGAAATTAAAATAGAAGGGAGGAGATCATGCTGAATAGTTGGAGGAGTATTATTACTAAAACAATATATACAAGGGTGGAACAAATTGACTGCATTTTAGATAAAGTATATAAGTAGCTATTATATGGAAAAAAAGGAATGAATTAAGTGGTATAATGAGATAATTTAATTATTTTACAATAGAAGATATAAATGTATAATGAGTAAGAATAAATAAAACGGGTTAAAAAATAGGATCTAAGATTAGTAATAGCCTTTAAAACTTTTATTACTTGGATCAGGAGTTAAATTACACTCAATATTAAAGAAACTTGAAAGGATCACTAAAATTGGGTAATGAGTAATATTTATATTTGCTTGCTTTATAGTTGAAATTATTTTATACCTTTAAATCTTCCTTCTTGTTATCTATTAAGATAAAGTTTCAAAAAAAGACTAAATTATTCATTCAACATTAAGAGTTTGCCCATCATATTCCTACTAAAATTCAACGATTCTTCTCTTCTATTTTATACCGATAGAGATTATGCTTTAACCTAAGTAAATGTCAGCATTAAGATCGATCATTGACTCTTAACTTCTCATCACAGACAAGAATAATATTTAACTCAAATTCAAGCAACTGTCGAATATCATGTAGTTTAATCTTTAAATAATAGTATTTTATACCTTTTTATTTTGGCAAGATGAAAAATGTATAGAATATCATTTAGATTATTTTTTTTTTTTTGTCTAGATTCAATATTTTGTATTTCAGATAATTTCAAAAGTTAAATTAGTTCATGATTTCACAACTTTCTACATAGTTCAAGGTTTCAATATGGTTTAACATGATTTAAAAAGCATTTCAATAATATTATTAACCAAAGTAAAATTAGAATATTCTCT